CCCTATATCCCCTATATCCCCATACCCCTATATCCCCCATATCCCCCTATATCCCCTATAGCCCCCACACCGCCCATCCCCCCCCCGGTGAGGCCCCAGCGCGCCCCCCCCCGCCCCTCCCCCCCCGCAGCTGCATCGGTGACTCACCGGGGCCGCAGTGCCGGGGGGGGCACCTATGGGGGCTATAGGGGGCCGGGGGCGCCCGCGGAGCCAGGAGGACTTCCAGGGACCCATAGGAACCGATGGGGACCTATAGAGACCTATGGGAACCTATAGGAACCCATAGAGATCCATGGGAACCTATAGAGACCCATGGGAACCTATGGAGAGAGCCAGAGAGGCACCTATGGGGGCTATAGGGGACCGGGGGCGCCCGCAGAGCCAGGAGGACTTCCAGGGACCCATAGGAACCGATAGAGATCTATAGAGAGCTATGGGAACCTATAGGAACCTATAGAGAGCTATGGGAGCCTATAGAGATCCATGGGAACCTATGGAGAGAGCCAGAGAGGCACCTATGGGGGCTATAGGGGACCGGGGGCGCCCGCGGAGCCGCGGGGACATCCAGGGACCCATAGGAACTGATAGGGACCTATAGAGAGCTATGGGAACCTATAGAGAGCTATGGGAGCCTATGGGAACCTATGGAGAGAGTCAGAGAGGCACCTATGGGGGCTATAGGGGACCGGGGGAGCCCGCGGAGACACCGGGACCTAGAGAGACCTATAGAGACCCATGGGAACCTACGGGAACCTATAGAGAGCTATGGGAACCTATGGAGAGCTATGGGAATGTATGGGAATGTATAGAGACCCATGGGAACCTATGGAGAGAGCCAGAGAGGCACCTATGGGGGCTATAGGGGACCGGGGGCGCCCGCAGAGCCACGGGGACCTATAGAGACCTATAGAGACCTATAAAGACCTACAGGAACCTATAGAGAGCTATAGGGACCTATGGGAACCTATGGAGAGCTATGGGAACACATAGAGATCTATAGGAACCTATAGTAACCTGTAGGGACCCATGGGAACCTATGGGAATGTATAGAGACCTATGGGAACCTATAGGGACCTATAGAGACCTATAGGGACCTATGGGAACCTAGCGAGATCTATAGGGAGAGCCACAGGCACCTATAGATCCACGGGCACCTATGGAAACCCAGGGGGAGACCTATAGGGGACGCAGAGAAACCTATAGGGGCCTGAGGGAGGCCCGTGGGGACCTATAGGGGCCTATAGGGGCCTATAGGGGCCTCGGGGGGGTATAGGAACTGCCCCGGGGGCACCGAGACCCTATAGGGGACCTATGGGGACGGACGGGGCCACCTATGGAGCCCTGGGAACGCTGTGGGCACCTATGGAGGCGGCCGGGGACCTATAGAACGTGCCTGGGGATGTATAGAGATGGATAGGGACCTATAGAATGTGGACAGGGACCTATGGAACGTGCCTGGGGATGTACAGAGATTGACAGGGACCTATAGAATGTGGGTGGGGACGTATAGAATGTGGACAGGGATGTATAGAGATGGACAGGGACCTATAGAACGTGGGTGGAGACCTATAGAATGTGGACAGGGATGTACAGAGATGGACAGGGACCTATAGAATGTGGACAGGGACCTATAGAACGTGTATGGGGACGTATAGAATTGGGTGGGGATGTATAGAACAAGGACAGGGAAGTACAGAACGTGGACGGGGATGTATAGAATTGGGTGGGGATGTATAGAGATGGACAGGGACCTATAGAATGTGGACAGGGACCTATAGAACGTGTATGGGGACGTATAGAATTGGGTGGGGATGTATAGAGATGGACAGGGACCTATAGAATGTGGACAGGGACCTATAGAACGTGTATGGGGACGTATAGAATTGGGTGGGGATGTATAGAGATGGACAGGGACCTATAGAACATGGGTGGGGATGTATAGAACATGGGTGGGGACATACAGAACATGGACAGGGACGTATAGAATGTGGGCAGGGATGTATAGAACATGGACGGGGACGCACAGAACGTGGGCAGGAACGTATAGAACGTGTATGGGGACCTATAGAACGTGTACGGGGACGTATGGAATTGGACGGGGACGCACAGAACGTGGGCGGGGGTGTGGAAGCGCACGCGGCCCCTACGGGGGCACCTATAGATGGGGGTGGCGCCTATAGACGGAGGTGGGGCGGGGTGGAGGGGGGGGGGGGTTTGGGGTGGGGGGAGGGGTGGCGCTCACGTGCGGGCGAGCGCGCGGGCACGTGAGTGGGCGTGGTCACGCGGGCGCGAGCCGGGGGCGCTCACACGCGTGTTCACACCTGTCCGTGTGTTCCGCGCGTGCTCACATGTGTGTGTGCGATCCAGGCGTGTTCATACGTGTGTGCACGTGTCCCAGGTGTGTTCATACGTGTCTGTGTGTTCTGTGTGTGGTCACATGTGTGCACGTGATCCAGGTATGCTCACACCTGTCCGTGCGTGTTCCCTGCCTGCTCACACCTGGCCGCGCGTGTTCCGTGCGCGTGTTCCGTGTGCGTGTTCCATGTGTGTGCGCGAGCGTCCCCTGGGGTTGTGTGTCACCCCGAGCGTGTCACCGTGAGTCACCCTGCGTGTGTCACCCTGTGAGCGACAGCGCGTGTCACCCACCCTGCGTCACCTGTGTGTGTGTCACCGTGAGTGTGTGTCACCGTGTGCGTGTCACCTGTGTGTGTCACTGTGTGTCACTGTGAGTGTGTCACCTGTGTGTGTCACCGTGAGTGTGTCACCTGTGTGTGTGTGTGTCACCTGTGTGTCACCCTGCAGGGGGGGTGTGAGTGTTCCCCAGGTGTTCGCACCCGTGTGTGTGTCACCCTGCGTGTGTCACTGTGTCACCGTGTGTGTGTGTGTCACCGTGAGTGTGTCATCATGTATGTCACCCTGTGCGTGTGTTCTCTGTGTGTCTTTGTCACCCTGCGTGTGTCACTGTGTCACCGTGTGCGTGTCACCCTGCGGGGTGTGTGTGTCACCTGTGTGTGTGTGTCACCTGTGTGTGTGTCACCGTGTGTGTGTCACCCGTGTGTGTGTGTCACCGTGTGCGTGTCACCGTGTGCGTGTCACCCTGTGTGTGTGTCACCCGTGTGTGTGTCACCGTGTGCGTGTCACCCTGCGTGTGTCACCCTGCGGGGTGTGTGTGAGTGTTCCCCAGCTGTTCACACCTGTGTGCGTTCCGCGTGTTCACACCTGTGCATTCCATGTGTGTTCACGCCTGTCTGTTCACATCTGTATTTCTCTGCTCACACCTGCGTGTTCACACCCACGCATTCCATGTGTGTCACACCCGTGTGTTCACACCTGCGTGTGTGTTTTCTGTGTGTTCACACCTGTGTGTGTGTTCTGTGTGTTCACACCTGTTTGCTCACACCTGTGTGCTCGCACCTGCGCATTCCATGTGTGTTCACACCTGTGTATTTCTGTGCTCACACCCGTGTGTGTGTTCTGCGTGTTCACACCCGTGTGTGTGTTCACATGTGTGCTCACACCCGTGTGTGTGTTTCTGTGCTCACACATGTGTGCTCACACCCGTGTGTGTGTTTCTGTGCTCACACCTGTGTTCACACCCGTGTGTGTGTGTTCTGCGTGTTCACATGTGTGCTCACACCCGTGTGTGTTCTGCGTGTTCACACCTGTGTGCTCACACCCGCGTGCGTGTTTCTGTGCTCACACCTGTGTTCACACCCGTGTGTGTGTGTTCTGCGTGTTCACATGTGTGCTCACACCCGTGTGTGTTCTGCGTGTTCACACGTGTGCTCACACCCGCGTGTGTGTTTCTGTGCTCACACCTGCGCGTGCCCCACGTGTGCCCTCACCCCTTGGGGGGGGTCCCTGGGGGGACACGGAGAGGACACGGGGGGTGACAAAAGGGACATGGGGGGGTCCCGGGGGTCCCTGGGC